ACCGAGGTCATTTGATCGAGCTCTTGATTGAGAAGTCGACATCGACACTCCGTAGAGAGCGCAGCGAGGGAAGAACATAGGCGACTTACCTGCTAGGGGGGGTAGAGGGGAGCGGGGTAACACCTCCCGTCGGAATCATTATTAATAAACTATCACCGGCGGGTCAGCCGTCCACCCACCGCGGACAGAGCAGCGCGGCAAGGTCAGCCCGAGCCTACCACCACCACGTGTACTTGGTACCAGCGGGTGCGCTGTGCGCTGCTGCTCGAGTTCCAGGTGTGCCCATGGTGACGACCAACAGCAAACAGCCGCTGACAACAGACCCGCTGCCGCAGCAGCCGCTTTCTTCATGAGTGATCGAGAAACGCTTTTATCGGCGATGATTGTTACACAGCACGCCTCCTGCCTGGTCTGGCCTGGCCTGGCCCGCCCCGACATTCCCCTCCGCGCAAGCGCAACACAAAGACCAATCAGCAATCAGTGCCGTCGGCAATTAAACGGGCGACGCGATGGGTCGGCCCGGTCGGCCCGGGGGAGCGCTCGGCCTGCGCGTCGTCGTCCCCCGGGAGCGGCAGCAGGACGGCGGCAGGACGGCAGAGCATTGATTGAGGAGGCGGCAGGAGCCGAGCGTGACACCGAGTCACATCGTTTCTCCGCCAGAGTAACCTTTTTATTTCATCCTTTCACGCACTTTCACCCCTTATTGCGTTGTTTGCGTTCCGCTCCGCGTCGCTCCCCCCCCCCCTTCCTCCATCATATTGGCGTGTGGAGGAGGAGGAGTGCACTGCGTGCCGTCCTCGTACCTCCTCCTAGATGCGCTCCGCGTCCAGCCCAGAGGGATAGAACAGAGACAGGACGAAAGGGCCGGGCGGCACCTTCAGGATCGCCTTCAGGCGTTTACGAGCGAAAACCAACCACCACACACCTTCTGTGGCCTTGCATCATTCTCCAAAATAAAAGCTTGTTGTCGTGTTGGTGGGGTGAGGAGGGGAGGTACGGGTTCATATGAACTCGGTCCGCGGTGTCGCGGGGGGCGCCGACAAGACTGCGCCGAGCGGGGAACTACGACTACGGGTCCCCAGGACCCCAGGACCCGCAAGGCCTGAAATGCCACATTATGGAAGCGAGTTATGCCTTGCTGAGAATACCAGCCCGCGTGATTTCTCTGGGACTAAAGGTGTTAAAACAGCCGCTAGCCTCAGACAAACCATACTACACACTGGCCTCGGCACTAAAATGAGGCCAAACGATGGAAAACGTACGGCAGCAGAAGCGGTCGCACCTTGCTGCACATGCACATCACGCCGCACCGCAGCCGCAGCCGCCACATCGCGTCCCATCGGATCCACGCCGCATCCACGGCACGGCGACCTATCGGAACAAAGAGGTCCCGAGGCTCACATATGGCCTTGGCGCCGCGCTCGCGCCGCAGAGCTGCACCACCACACCACCGGCCACATACCGCACAGGACGACCCCTCACCCCGCCCCTCTCACCGACCGACCCACGCATGCCGACATACCGGGACCGACAAGAATGTCGCTTGGCTTCGCTCAGCCGCGCGGAGGGGTTCAGCGTCCCTCTCCCACTCGCCATGTAGGGTGTCGTCGGGACCGAAAGGGTTAATTATCGCACAGTCCTCTCTCAGCGCCTCGCCTACTCGCGCGGGATCTTCGATCTGAGCTCGCCGCACCGCTGCGATTGAGAGACGAGGCTCGTCCTGGCCGCTCGCTGCAAACCTCTTTGTTCCGGGCCGGGGTTTGGCGACTCTTGATCAGTAACCCCCACCGCAGCCCAGCCAGGCCAGCCTGAGCCTCCGCCCGGCCGCTCCGGCCGACGTCAAGGCCATAGTGGTTGCCTGCCCAGTATGCCCATAGCCCGGGTATCGTTTTAGGGGTCGATCGAGAGGGCAAGTGAGCGAATTACAGGCAGCAATAAGCAAGAATATGGGCTGTGTTGAAAACCAACTGGTACGAGTTAAAGGTATTTTAAGGGGGCAAAGTGAGTTGACCGAGGTATTTTTTGAAAGGGGCCAGGGAGTGGGGGGCACCATAATTGGAAAAATATAACGGCCTATGGTTGTGTGTGATTTATTCCACCTCACATCTCACGACCTCAGCTAACACGTAAGAAAAAGAACCACAGTTACAGAGACGCGACCCCGATGGACCCAGGCAAGAGCCGGGCGCGGCGGCACTCACTCGCCTCTCCCACGAACACTCAAGACAAACCCTTACAGTGCCAGTGAAAGTCATCCAATCATTAGCGCCACGGCAGAGCCGGGCAGAGCACGTAGAACCGAACGGAACGGAATCCCGGATCCCTCTCCGAGCCGAGACAGGGAAAGGCTGCGTCCAAAGTGAAGCCAGTAGGAGCTGGGAGCAGGGTGGGGCGCAAAGCCCGTGCCCATAGCTAGTCCCCCTCCCCCCCTTTTCCTCTGCCCTCGTGCAGGAACCGGTTTCCTAAAATTTCAATGCTTCTGTAACTGCCCTCTGTACAGGCAATTCCATGTCGAGCATCGTCCTCTCGCCCACCGCTATTAATACACAAAATGATGCTCTCCGGAGGTCAGGCCCCAACCGCGCGGCGCCGGTGGCGAGCGAAATGAGAAGGTGCAAGCGCGACTCGCTGAGAGTTTACACAAACTGCGGCTCGTTTCTATGAGGTCCAAGCGAGAAAATGGGCAGTGAAGCGGAGTTCCCAGCTCCGCAAGACCGTTTAGCTCCTTACGAGTACTCTTCATAATACGAAGAATTGTGAAGGATCTGAAACCTTACCTACAGGGTCGTTCGAGAAAAGACACCTGCTTTTGGTGTTCGAAAACAGCTGCGGCTGATTAACCCCACGCACTTTTGCAATGATCGAGGGGGCAATAACTCCCTTTTGAAGTGTATAATTATTACATAGGTTTTTCGGGGGATTTTAGTGGTATAAAAACGCTTATTTCGACTGATTTGTACTTATTTCTCTAGTTTCCCGCTTATTCTAAGCGATTTCTATTGATTTTGATCAATTTTTATCCTGATGATTCCCAGACAGGTGTACACATGATTCCCGGAGTTATTGCCCCCTCGGCAATGATAATGTACTGCATGCAGGCGTGTGCGAGGATGTGCCTATCGTCGCTGACCACGGCATCTGTCTGTAACTACGGCCTCGGTCGGATAGGCAACCCGCACGCACGCCGCCCCTATGCGGTACAGTATAACTACAAAAATAGCGCGGAGTTAATCAGCCACCTGCCACAAAGAATATATTTTTATTACAAAGACCCCGAAACCTTCGTACATCACGAAGAGCAGTTGTTTGAAAGAAACTTACAGAAGCCCTACCGCACGGGACAAAAAATTCGCCAACCCCGTAGCTGGAGCTGGAATCACTACTGGGGGGACAGAGGGCTCAGATCTGATCAAGACATTAATCCGAATGAATGACAACGATTGCGGAAAGCCATGT